GATGAACAAGCCACCGGAACATACTATGGCCCTTATGATACACCATTGGATATTGCCTTCCACTATGGGATTGTATACCGAATGCCGCCATCACTGCAAAGTCTTTATTAGCACTTTAGGATGCTATGTAGGTTGTTTATGTGTATTTTATTGCTTTTTATTGTATTGACTGTTTTATTGTATTGACTGTTTTATTGTATTTTAATGTCTGTACGCCGCCTTGAGCCAGTTCGCCGGCAAGGCGGGATACAATTGAAAATAATAAATAAATAAGATTTATTAGGTTTTTCAAACAAAACAAAGAGCTCCTATAGGAATGAAAATATCTATTTGTCTGTTGCAGATGCAGCTCGCTGTGTCAAGTGCTCAGAGGATCAGTATCTAAACAAAAACCATGGCCAGTGTATTCCAAAGATCATCACCTTCCTATCCTACCAAGAACCTTTGGGGATAACATTACTTTCTCTTGCTCTTTCCTTTGCAGTGATCACATGTTGGGTGATGCACATCTTTCTGAAGAACTAGAATACACCCATTGTCAAAGCCAACAATCAATACTTGACCTGCACTTTTCTCATCTCCATTCTGCTCTGCTACTTTTCTTCCCTGTTATTCATTGGCAAACTAGGCAAGAGACCTGTTTTGTACGACAAATGGCTTTTGGCATCATTTGTTTCCGTTTCTTGCCTGTTGGCAAGGACAGTTATTGTGGTCCTGGCTTTCAAGGCCACAAAGCCAGACAGTAGGTTAAGAACATTTCTAGAGAAAGGTGTGGTTAACTCCATTCTTCTTTCCTGTTCTGTCATTCAGGTGGGCATTTGTATTGTGTGGGTGTCAACCTCTCCTCCTTTCCCACATGCTGACATGCATTCACAGGCTGAGCAGATCATAGTGGAATGTGCCAATGCCTATTACAGCTGTAACCAATAAAGTTGTGGCCAATTTTATCCACCTAATTTCCAAAGAAACTGTGTGTGAGTGGTCAATTTAAACAGTGGCCAAAGGCTGGCCAAACCTCTCCATCCCAAATACAACCTGGAACCGCAAAGTATACTCCTAGCTTAATTGTTGACATTTAAGGGGAAATGGCACATCTTTTCTCCTTTAACGTGGTTATATAATAAAGTAATAAAGTTTTGAATAGTAAAACTGAACAGAGATTAAAAGGTTAAATCTTCCCTGAAACACCACTGAGGCAAACTGAGGCTGCATAAGCCTTCAATACAACACACTTTCCATGTTTTCTGACACACAGCTAATATAGTATCTATTTTGGGAAAGGAAGAGAGCTCTTCTCTGCCTGAGATCCTTGGGAGCTGCTGTCAGTCAGAACAGACAATGCCAACTTCTAGTTTATGATGACACACAGGCAGACGCATCTCCCGGACCTCCCGGGGATGTAATCTGCACACCAGCATGTAGGAGGGGGTGCGATGGGTCGCAACCCCCCCTGGAACCTTGGCAAAAGGCTCATAGCCATGGGGCTTATGAGGGACGACCTCTTCGCTGGCGCGATGCCAGAGAATTGAGGTGCTCCTCTGCCTCAACAGTCCTGCCACTGAGTGTCCTAATGGACTTAGAGCCACTGACTGGGACAAGCGTCGGAGATCGAGTGAATTAAATGGATGCCGAACGTGGCCGAATGGCCGACAATTAACTGTGAGTCGGGTTAAAGCGAACATGAGAATTTAAAAAGAAAGCTAACCCCCACCCACGTAGTGACGAAAAGCGAGCGGAGGAGGGGCCCTTCCCAAATGCATGGACAAAAGCATGAAATAAAGAGGGGGGAGCAGAAGAATAAGCATTTAAATCTGTTTTAAGAGACTTACCAGAGCGTGGATAAGCGTAAGGGTAAATTTCAGAGACTTTGGCATCTTTTATAAAAGTAAATAATCCATAAAGATGGCGGGGAAGAAAGCAGACAAAGACAAACTTGTAAAAGTGAAACCAGTTGGTAGCCCTCAACCAGAAGAGACCACTGAGCTCTCTAAAATGTTGGCAGATTCCTTGCAACCTCTGCTGGACGAGATGACTAACATCAAACAACAGTTGTCAAGAATAAGTCAGAGTATGGTGTCTCAGCAGCTCCAATTGACTGAGTCTTTGAAAGTAACGAAGCAAACGGCTGAGAAGGTGAAGGAAATGGACACCAATACTAAAAAAGTCAAGGTGCAAAAGCTAAAAATGAAACATGCTGCGGAAGAATCACAACTTTTACAGCTGCAGATGGAGAAAGCAAATCTGGTCCTAAGGTTCCAAGGGGTCCCAGAATTAAAAGGTGAGAATGTGAAGCAATTGCTGAGTGAAGCATTAGCCCCAGCTACAGATTTGAAAGCAGAATATCTTTACAGCAAGATTGACTAAATCCTCAAATGCAATGGAGCAAATGGCAGAGCAGATGAAGGAAATGGACGCTAATACTAAAAAAGTCAAGAAAAAGGTGCAAAAACTGGAAATGAAACAAGCTATGGAAGAGTCACAACTTTTACAGCTGCAAATGGAGAAAGCAAATTTGGTCCTACGGTTCCAAGGGGTCCCAGAAATTAAAGGAGAGAATCTGAAGCAACTGTTGAGTGATGCAATAGCCCCATTGACAGATTTGACGGCGGAATATCTTTATAGCGAGATGGATGTGGTCTACAGGTCCTACTCCACATACATTAAGAAGAATAATCTGCCTGAGGAAATAGTAGTCAGATTCTCGAAGAGACACATGAGAGACTCTATCTTGAAACCAACTACTGGAACACCCTTGAAAATTGGGGACAATAACATCAGGATTTTAAAAGATATTCCATTTGAAATAAGACAGAAGAGAAAGAAATATAAAGGTTTAACCCTTTTTCTTCAAACAAATGGCATCGGTTACAGGTGGCTAATTCCAGAAGGCGTCATTTTCAGACTCCATGACAAAAAAGAAAAGATTGACTCTGTTTTTAAAGCACATGAGTTCCTGAGAGTACAGCTGGGGGAACCAGTTGAGGACAAGAAGAAAGAAGAAGAAAGCAAACCTGATGGTGAGTTGGGCTCAGGGTCTTCTGACGAGGACTCTCTCTCTGAAAAGGGGGTGGCCGCCCTCAAAAGTCCATGCAAATTGAGGATGAGAAAAGATAAGACAAAATAAAGGATGAAGGACTCTGAATTGTGCCTGAAAGTTATACAATAACTATGGGATGCTCTGGGGATTTTTTAAACAGATAGGTTGATGGGTAAAAAGATAAATAATTTAGCATAACCAACTATGTTCAAAGTAATATTAGCTTTTAAGAATAACATTTATATGAGCTGTTGTTATGATCTCCTATTCTTGGGGTTTTAGTTACTAGTGGTTTTCTTTCCTTTCTCTTTAGTTGTAGCCTCCCCTCCCTAATTTTCGGTTATAGTTTGTAGTCTTTTGGAAAAACCAATAAAAAACTCCCCTTAGGGGGACTTAAAAAAAGAAAAAAAAGAACAGACAATGCCAAGCTACATAGATTTGATACAAGGCCAATCAGTATTTTCATATAATAGATTAATTTGGGGATCTGGTTAAAATAAACATAAGACTTCCTGGAGATTATAGTGCACATGTGGGATTTACAAAGCACTTGTGTAAAACTCCCCTTGGAGAAAATATTAAATTCAAACAAGCAAGTAAGGATAAAAATCAGAAGTGCTTTCCAGTTGACTGGATAACAAACACCCATCACCCACTACCATTAGGTAGAACAGAACATCATTGATTTTGTTCTACACATTTAAGCCTTCATGTTACAAACAGCCAAAATATCTGCATGTGATTAAACAATTATAGAGAGAAGAAAGGTTTAGATTTTTCTTTTTAAAATTCTGATTAGCATCTGGAATAGATGGTGAAACCACATTTCTTATGAAGGTAAGTTTTCAATTTTATGTTTTGTAAGACACATCTTATGTAAAACTCAACCATTATGGTACAATATATCTCCATAGTTAATGTCATAACAGAATATGCAAACTGTATAATAAACTTAGTGGTCTGTATCCTAATGTTCCATTTATTCCTCCAGCACTGAAAACCTTTCTTCTTCAGAAAGAGGAAGAGCTATGTAAGTCAGAGGAAAGCCCCTTAGACTGGATAAAGATAGATCCAGTTGTCACACTGTGAACAAGAAACTGAATTTAAAATAAGACTGTGAAAACAGAAGCAGAGTTAATTCTCAGTGGTGATCTCACCCTAAGATGCTCTGAAGCATCTGATGTTCTCTCATATTAGTAAATAGCTCCAAATTCAGACTGCTGGAGGTAAAGTACAATACCAGAGGACCATTTGTTGTTCTTCAGTCGCACACTCGAGTCCGACTCTTCACGACCCCATGGACAAGATCTCGCCAGGCCCTCCTGTTTTCCGCCGTCCTCTGAAGTTTGCTCAATTTCATGTTCGTTTAACCATTTCATCCTTTGTCGTCCCTGTCTTCTTTGACTGTGGTTAAAGCCCTGCCCTATGCATATAATGCATGGTGACCTGAGGAAGGGCACACTGTGTCTTTGTGGTACAAGATGAACACAGATGTGCACAATCTCTCCCTCTACTGTAATATTAATGCACATTGTACTTAACTATTAGGAACGGGCATGAACCGCAAAAGTGTAGTTTGGTTCATGATTAGTGGCCAAACCATGAACTGAACCAGGAGGCTCCTAGGTGAACCAAACTTGTTTGTTTTGGTTTGTGGAGAACAGGGAGCAGAAAGCAGGGGTTTAAAGGGACTCCAAGCTTGTTAAATTCCTGCTTTCTGCCATTCACAAACTGCCATGAACCACCCACAAAGTGCTTTAAAGTTCATGGTGGTAGACCTGCCATGAACGTCAGTTCACAAAGCAGGAACTGGCTAAAATTCATCATAAACTTTCATCCATGAGCCACTGTGTGTCCATCCTTTATAACTATTGTATGTTTTAAAGTCTAAAGCCATTAAGTATCCCAACACATGACCTTTAATTTTCCAGAAAAGCAATAGAAAATCTTTTCCATCATAACGATGAACAACAGAGGAAATGTGTCTTACCAGGTGGAAAATCAAACAGTTACCACTGAATTCCTCCTCCTGGGATTTGGAGATCTTCACCATCTGCAGATCCTTCTCTTCCTGCTGTTTCTACTCATCTATATTGTGACAGTTACTGGGAATCTCCTTATCATTCTCCTGGTTGTGGCTAATCAGCACCTGCACACCCCTATGTATTTCTTCATAGGAAACCTATCCTGTTTGGAGACCTGCTACAGCTCAACCCTCCTACCCAGGATGCTAGTCAGTTTCGTGAATGGGGACAGAACCATTTCTGTTAGTGGTTGCATAGCACAGTTTTATTTCTTTGGTTGCTTGGCAGGAGCAGAATGTTTCCTTTTATCAGCCATGTCTTATGATCGGTATTCAGCAATATGCAATCCTCTTCATTATCCAAATATCATGAACAGTAAGATTTGTTTTATTTTAGCTTCCAGTTCTTGGATTGGTGGCTTTGCAGTAAACACGGTCATCATATCCTTCATGTCCCAGTTAACATTTTGTGGGCCCAATGAAATTGACCATTTCTTTTGTGATTTTGCTCCATTAATGGAGCATTCATGCAGTGATACATATCTGGTGACAGTAGTAGATCTTTCATTCTCTACAATCTGTGCTCTTCCTCCTTTTCTTTTGACTCTGGCTTCCTACATTTGTATCATTGCTACAATTTTAAGGATCCCATCAACCTCGGGCAGACAAAAAACATTTTCGACTTGCTCCTCTCATTTGATTGTAGTGACATCATTCTTTGGGACTCTAATTTTGGTCTATATTGTTCCATCTTCACCATCAGCTGTGGATGTTAAGAAAATCTTATCTGTTTTCTATACTGTTTTGACACCCCTGGTTAACCCTCTAGTCTATAGCTTCAGAAATAAGGAAGTGAATATTGCCTTCAGGAAATTCACTAGCAAACACACACATTTCCAAAAGAAGTGAAGAAAATCCTGTTATTTATTTGAAACCTGTGGAAGGATTATTATTTTAGTGTACAAAAAAGGATAATATGTTTGTGTCTATGGGTTAGATCATCCCACTCTGCTCAGGTAATAGTTGAGCATCCTTGTCATGCAGATGCAAGAAGATTCTTGGCTGACAGAAGGGCTGTTTGCATCACAGGAAGACTCCTTCCGTGGGAGAAATAGGACACCATTAATGGAGCAAAGTGAAGGTCCATTATTTTGGGGGGTTGTAAATAATCAATCAAAAGTCATGATGCTATATTGAAACTCAAAAATTCTGGGCAATCTGATGAAGCAGATAAACGTTATGTTCAGGATGAACTAAAGGGAATACTTCTTCACCAAGTAAAGTTAAGGGATGTTTTGCTATCATTTGGAGTGAAGGCTAGCAGCTTGGTGTAGTGGTTAAGTGTGCAGACTCTAATCTGGGAGAACCGGGTTTGATTCCCCACTCCTCCACTTGTACCTGCTGATGTGACCTTGGGTCAGTCACAACCTCTGGCACAGCTGTCCTTGAAAAAGAACAGTTTGTGTCAGAGTTCTCTCAGCCCCACCCACCTCACAGGGTGTCTGTTGTGGGGAGGGGAAGGGGAAGGAGTTTGTAAGCCGCTCTGAGACTCCAAGTGAAGGGCAGGGTATAAAACCAATCTCTTCTTCTCTTCTTCTTCTTCTTCCAATCCTAAGCATGCTTTGTCAGAATTAAGTTTCATTGAATGTAAAGGTGCTATATCGCAAGTACAGAGGGCTGCAACCTTGCATGTGTAATAAGTGCTGTCTCAGCTGGTAACCCCAGCAGGGAAATTTCAAGGTAAGTGAGTAAGCAGAGTAGTAGTCAAGTCAAGTCAGCCTTTTTTGGCATATAAAGCAGAGTAGTAGTTTGCCATTGCCTCCTCTGCAAAGTTTTCCTTGGCTGTGGTCACACGGAGCATTAGCCACGCTACAGAGACGGATGATAGGTGGATTTTCCGGGCGCGATCACACCGCAACATCTGGGAAGCGTAGAGCTCCCGTGGCAAACCCGAGGCTTCCAGCCGAAGATGCGGAGTAAAAAACTAGTTCCTCCAAGGTACTAGTTTCCGGAAACTGCAGAGCAAGGGCTGGCGTCTGATCGCATTTCTGGTGGTAGTCCGTGGCATCTGGCGCCTGCCCATGTTTCATCGCAAACAGGGTTTTTTCCCCCAAGTCTCCACAGGATGCGCAGAAGCACCCAATGGCGCATGCGCACAAATAGGAAAGTGACAGTCCCGTTGCTCCACAGAATCGTGCATGTGCTAACTTTGGCTTTAAAAAAATGACCCCCTTTGTCACGGCAGCAGCGCCTAGCCATTGTCGTGTGCAGGATTGTCGTGTGATCACCACCTTGCCCTTAACCATGGGACCTCGATGGGACGTGTGATCAGGTGGCCACGCGTTATTTTGCTCCAGGCCAAACTGCCACGCTTCCCCCCCACACACATTTTCCGGCCCGTGTGACCGGGACCCTTGATGGTCTCCCATCCAAATACCAACTCTGCTTGGATTTTGGGATCTGAAAAGATTAGGCTATACTATACTATAGCATTTCACCTCCCAGCTGCAAATTTAGACAGATTGAGAGGCAGCAACCAAAGCTCAATGTCTGGCCAGCCTGCTAGTTAAGATCTACTTCCAAACCCTTGTTTTTTGTCCTGTACCCTTGTGCCTGCAGGGGTAAGGAGTGTGGCCCTTAGAACTCAGGCTTCTCAGTGGTAGCACCTCACCTTTGGAATGCCCTCCCCAAAGGCTTGTCTGACATCTACCTAAATATCACTTAGTTGCAAGGACAAAACATTTCTTTTTAAGATATACAAGCTTTTAACAAAGGGTGTTCATTTTTTTTTAGAAAACTCTTATATGTTTACTTCTAAGAACACTTGTTTGAATATAATTTTAAGCTGCTGAATGTTGTTTTATGATGTTTGTATGACATTTGATTGTTTTCTTGGTTTGTTTATTATTGGTACTTCAGTTGTTTTTTATGATTGTATTGTTTGTTTGTTTTTACATCATGAGCCATATTGAGCAGGTCTCTGATTTTTCTGAATAAATATTCTCTTTCCACAGCCCTTGAAATCTGTAGGCTGCAAAAATATTCCACATTGTTAGCTGTAAATCATGTGACTGAGCACAATCATTCAGACTGAAATACATATGGGTATAATGCCGGTATGTTATATTCTTACAGAATCAATTAACTACATGGATGAGTTCATTGTGATGTAGGAACAGAAGCAGCAGAATGGGTGCAGCTCATCAGAATGACCTTTGACTGTTAAGAGGCCACACCTATTAAAAGGGGGGGCAGTCATTCCCTTAAAGCAAGACTCACCATTGATACATACTGGTTGATAAGGGTAGGATGCCAAAAGATACATATTGATTAATAGGGGTTGTCACTGTTCATGCACTTCCTCCCCTTCCCTATGGTCTTTCTCACTTTTAATGGCTGTGGTTCTTATGCCTCACCAATGTGACAGGTCAGCATACATTTTTTTCTATCCTTTTCCGCTGCAGCCTTTGATAATGTGGAAACTACCCATATGAAATGATCTATCATGAACAACAGATATAAGTTAACAATGCAATAAGGGAACCAGCAAAGAAGAAACAGCTTTGTAAGAACAGCTAGTCCTTAAAACAATGTTTGTATAATTTCCAACTAATGATGGTTGTGATTCCCAGTTTCTAAACCAGGGATGTACTTATCCCAATAGTGGGTCTTCTTTAAAGTAAATGAAGATAATTAGTGTCTGGAATATGATATGTGTAGAAAATATGTAGACAATTGCTATACAAAATGATAAAACTGATGATTCAGCTTTATTGGTTGGATGTCTCTAGCTTTCCCACTCAATCTTCCACACTTTCCCTCTTTATTGCAGCTGACATCTACTTTAATCAATGCAAACCTCATGATCATAATAGCTTTTTTTGATGTTCAAAACAGGCCCCTCCTCATTGCCAACCAATAGAAAACCTGGGAGGATGCAACCTTGTGTTTTCAGTTATTAAATTGATCTGCAAGGTATTTTGTGCAGATGTAGAAGAAGAATCTGGAGGGCTTATGTTTGTAATCAGCACAGCAGACATAAAAATTAGCAATAATTATTTGTTTTATTTTAATTACAAATTAAGAGTAGTGGTAGTAGTGGTAGTAGTGGTAGTAGTGGTAGTAGTGGTAGTAGTGGTAGTAGTAGTGGTAGTGGTAGTAGTGGTAGTAGTAGTAGTTTTAGTAGGGGATTGGATTTATACCCTGCCCTTCACTTAGAGTCTCAGAGCTGCTTACAAATGCCTTCCCCTCCCCACAACAGACACCCTGTGAAGTAGGCAGCTCTGAGAGAGCTCTTTCGAGAACTTCTCTTTCAAGAACAGTTCTGAGAGAACTATGGCTTGCCCAAGGTCATCCAGCAGCTGCAAGTGGAGGAGTGGGGAATCGAACCCAGTTCTCCCAGGTTAGAGTCTGCACACAGACCACAAATATAAGCACAGGATAATTATGACAGGGGGACAAGTTGTTAGCCAAATTGCCTTAAATTGTTATTTAATATGGGGAGTTGTGATGTCACTGAAGGCAATAGGTGAGTTAGGGAGCAAGCACCTATGTATACACCCACTTCTTCCAGACGCACCAGAGATAGACTCTGAGACTGGCTTTGATATAGAATGATTCGGTTTACTGAAGCTTATTTCACAGGCATACAATAACACAAACACACTAACAAGTACACAGATATAGTAGAATTAGAGAGAAGAGTATAGTACATTTGCATTAGCAGGAGATTTGTTGAGAGGCAATACTTTACCTGTCTTCAGCGGGATGGAGTGATTGCTAGGAAAAATTAGAGAGACTGCGGGAGAAGGGGATCGTGTCCTGAGCCAGCAGAGACACGGAGAGACTCTGGCAGTGCTACCTGAGAGTCGTGGGGGGGGGGAGGTTGTGTATAGAAGTCAGGAGAAAGAGAGAGAGAGAGCATGTGTGTTTATGCCCTCTTTTATGAGGGGGCTTGAAGGGTGGGCTAGGCTTGGCTGCCCCCTTTGGTATACCTCCTGTTGGTCCGTCCCCAAAAACATGCTGACTGATACTTGGTCCAAAGGGGAAAGGTCTAAGAGGATGGACAATATTGGGTCTGGGTAGCGGCACCTGAAGGGATTATGACTCCTGGGCGAGAGCCATTTTCCCCTGGTTGTCTTATGTCTGTAGTTTCAGCTAGGTAAGATATTAAGTGGGGGGAAAGAACATTTGCCTACGTGCTGGAAAGAGGGTTCTTCATGGATTGTGAGTTCCCTATCCCTGGTCTTCTGTCTTCTGTCTGGCATGGCAACTGCCTGGCTTTCCGTGTTGCATGTGGCTAGGGAACTAATTCATTTTACTGCAGGTAAGAGGGTGGCACATTGCTTCAAAGGAAGGCGTCCTTCATCCAGGTGCGTGTCTGTAACTAGCACTGCCACACAATTCAGCCCCTTTTGCACACAGCTTGCATAGTCCAGCTTTTATCTTTTATGAATTAAGAGTCCATAGGAGCGCTACCAGCGCCTTGCTGGGCAACAAAGTGTAACGTTAAGCTATTTTATAGTAGTTACATTCTCAGAAAATGAAAGCTGTTAAGAGAAGGGGGGGGGGAGAGATGGATCCAGTCAACTTCTCTAAGGGAAAGCCTTCCTCCTCTTTCACCAGGAGATCCAATATATTTCTACAAATTCCATCAGATGTTTCTACAAATTTGATGAAAGCAACATGTTTACAGAGAATAATAGAAGGAGCATCTGTACCTTTCAGAAATGAATGTTTTCACAGTGGTCACTGATTGCCAACCACAACACTATTGCCAGGCTTCCAGACTGTCATTCTGTCAATTCCAGGTAGGAGGAGGGGACAGGACTCCTTTTGAGGACTGTGTTGGCCTTTGTGGGAGGACTAATCAAAACCAGGTCTATAGCAACCACTGGGTTACTTGCTAC